ACGTTAGGAAACAAAACTTCCAGAACACGGCCACACAGCCCGGAAGACCCACACCAGACATCTAACCTTTGTTTGAAAACTTCCAGTGATGGGTCACCCATGACTCCATTAGCCAGGGTATTCCATTGCTTAATAACATTCATGGTCAGGAAAATCCTCCTCATTTCAAGCTTGAATCTCTTTCTGTCAGGCTTCCATGCATTGGTTCTTGTCCTACTCTTATTACAGAGGATAAATTCACATTCTCTTCCCTGTGGAAGCCCTTCAAGTATTGGAAGGCTGCCATCATGTCTCCCCTTAGCTTCTCTTCTTTAGGCTAAACATACACAGTTCTTTTAACTGTTCTTCTTAGGCTTTAGCCTTCAGACCCCTTGCCATCTCTATTGCTCTTCTCTGCACTCTTCCGGTTCCTCAGCATCCTTTTTCTATTGTGGTGACTAAAGCTGGACACAGTGTTCTAGATGCCGTGTGACTAGCGTGGCATAGAGCTGAACTATCACTTCCTGTGATCTTGATCTCTAATGATGCAGCCCAAGACTGCATTGGCTGTTTTAGCAACTGCAGCACACTGCTGGCTCATGCCTAATTGTAGTGTACCGGACACCCAGTGTCAGAACCTCCAGCAATCAATCTATCAGCTCATTAGCTGCTTGCTTCGTTTCTGCCATTTGTTTAGTAGGGGGGATGGGGGAGCAAGGAAGGTGAGACCGTTAACACAGATGGACTGCTATCTAGGGCCAGGAATGTACAAGGTCGCAGCAACATGAGAACTGGCTGAGGGGAAGGAGGGGTAGAAAAAAGGGTAAAAGTAGAATGGGGATGCGTGGGCTTTTAGTTTCAGCAATGCTTTGAAGCTACTTGTAGGTCTCAGTAAATGAATTTCTTTTTGAACTTATTACAAGTTTCAAGAGATTTTTCTTCGTTGGGATTTGAGCATCGTAGTTCTGACACCCAGATCTAAAGATGAGTCCAAGCAAAATTTACAGAAGAGTTCTCTGTCACCTTCAATGATATTAGTGAAGTGGTATTCCCCTTGAAAGAGCAAGTCCGGGACTGTGGGGTCTTCCTGAATTTACAGCTACTGCTGGGTAGGCAGACGGAGTCTGCGCCCAGGGAAACTTTGCCCAGCTTTAGCTGGTGTGCCCGTTGCAGCCCTACATGGAATGGGAAATGACTGATGCACTTATCACCTGCTTATTGCAGTGTGCTCCTGCGTGGGAGTGACTTTGAAACCATTCAGAAAATGCAGATGGAAAAATGTAACAGCTTGTATATTAACAAATCAAGTCCCCGCAGCCACATAACACCTATTTTACAGTTGCTCATTGGTTACTAATACATTTCAAGGTGCTATTTTTGACCAAAATGTTAGGACCTACATACTTTCAGGACCACCTTCTAGGCCCTGAAGCAGCCCTCTTGACTCATCCAGTGACTATGTCCTGCTAACAACTTTTATTGTTCCCCAAGCCAACAAGGTGAAGGAGACGGGAACCCCCAGGTAACTTTTTCAGCTACAGACCCCGTATCATGAAATGGAAAAAATAGGTATTGTACTGAGCTTAGATGTAAAATGCATACTAAATAAAAATAGTACCCCCTTCCCTCCTTGCAGGTCTTCTGGAAGCTACTGAAGAATGAACTCTTCTGCAGGGCAGTTGGAAATGTCACTTATTTGCACTTTGCACTTGTTTTTAATTAATTTACGGTGTGTTCATGTTCAATGATGGTTTATGTTTTGTGATGTAAAGTGCTGGAAGTCATTTTTGGGTCTCTGGCTGCATATACATTTAATAAATAAATAAAGAGATGTACCTCTAAATTCCATATTGGGAACAATAACTTTTTCACAAATACTTGTCAGTGTATTCTGATCTTCAAACAGGTGCTTGTAATGGGGTCTCTCACAAACGGAAGCCAGGAACTGGATTGCATTACTTACCAGCTGTAAGAAAAAGACATGAACAATCATTATTTGAAAAAATACTACAATGTTTTTCAAGCATGATGAAAAAGAGCCAGGCACTTACACTTACCAGATCATACTTAACTTCTTGACCAGTTGTGACCAATAAATTCCAAATTGCAGTGACAAAACGGGGCAGGTAAGGTTGAAATTCTTCATCATATTTTTGTGCATACAGAGCAGCATTATCACAAATTTGGGATTTCAAAAGTTCTAGAAGACCAGCTTCCTCTTCATCCTAGCACCACCACCAACAAAAATAATCATCAATCACACTCATTTTATTCACATTTTAATACATCTTACCACCCAAAAGATCCATATAAATTTCACTACCAATAGACATACAGTCACAATGCCATTTTTACTACTGAATATGAATAACATTTCAGAGAAAATTAACAAAATATTTATCATCATATTACTTACATCTGTTTGTAAGAGTTTATTATCCAAAGTTAAAAGGTTATGGAAGTTCATCATCCAGGTTTCCATGTTATCTTCAAAAAATTCAGGGAGGTCCTACAGAGTTAAAGTACAAGTTCATATTTTAAATTATTTTTTACAATAAATAATTCTGGCAGGACCTGCTCAAAGGAAAGCTTTCAAAACACAGCAATTATAAAAAAAGGATTTATGAAATCCAAATTATATTTTTTATATTTAGTGTTCCAATCTTCTCATTTCTTGATCAGTACAGCTGATCCAACTTTTTTGGATCAGTGAATTCATGACTATCTGAAAACATGTCATTAACAATGTAAGAAAATGTCTGTGATGGGGGGGGAGGCTTGTCCATTCACAAAATGGCTGTCAAGCTTTGTAGGAAAACACTGATTTACCAGAAGGTAAACCAAAGGAGCTGTATTCCAGTACCCTCTCTAGCCCTTCAGGATACTCATTAACTTCCAGCTTCATTCAGCAAAGGTGGACACACAGAATGGATCAGAAATGTATTATAAAAAATCATTTTTGTTCAAAAGACGCCCCCTTAGTTAAAGGCAGTGAACATAAAATTAACCAAATTCTGAAAACATCGACCTTTGTCTTGACTTAATTATATTTAAGTCCATCTACTATTTCCAAATTTGATATCCTGCCTCTTAATATTCATTATAACTCTTTCCTTTGCTCTCCTGACATAAATTTTGATCAGGCTTATTCTTATTGAAATGAACCAGAGCAGAAACTAAACGTAAAATGCAATTTTATTACATTAAAAGGTGATATATGCACTATTTTTCATCTGTTAAAACTGCAAGAAATATTCTGTTCATGTAACTCATACAGCCAGCATACACCTTTATCCAGATTTTTGTGCTTTAAAACATTTCATCATCTCAAAAACCCATGAAGATTCTTTTTAAAATTAGCAACACCAAGCTGTTTCATCAACTATTGCTGCTTGAATTCTGTCATTATGGATGGATCAGAACTATTAACTAGAAAACATAAAGGTGGCTTACTTGAAAATTTAAACTGTAGAACAACTTAGCAATAAGAATCAGAGAGGAGAACAGAACTTTCAAAGCACTGGCATCATTTGCATGAGTACTGCAAAGTTCAATGGTGGCCTAGAAAAGGAAAGATTAATAATGATTTTAAACTTAAAAGTTTCTGCTTCTTTTCTATTAAAATGCAAAAAGTGTACAATAACAACAAGATATTAAAAAATCAGAGTTAGCAAAACAAACACAGCCACTACCATCAGAAGTCTTTGTATCAAAAGCACTGTTTTAAAAAACTTTCTTAGTAATCTTAATATCAGTATCTATTTTTTCTTATCTTAGCTTTCCTAAGAAGTTAACATTCAAAGCAGTAAAACAGAAATCACAACCTCACTGTATCCAACCTATGTTTTAAGGTATGCTATGAAGATAAGATATTGTAAAGTGTTTTTGCCGGGATTCAAATGTCAAAAGCAACACTGTACCTTAAAGAGATTGGTCAAGGGTAGTGCAAATGCATCAAGGACAAGTTTGATCTCCGTCCACAGTTCATTTGATTTAAACTCATGACGGTACCTAACGAAGAAAGGAAAATTCAAGTAATTTAATGTATACTGAATACATTTCTAAAGAAGTTGGTAAACTACACTCTAAGTCAGTCAAAATCCAGTTACTGCACAACAAGAGTGGGAGGTTCAGAGCCCTTCCTCATACCTTTTGAATAGAGAATGTGCCGTACGAAGAACTCCATTAATAACATGGAAGTCACCACTCTGAAAGCGATTTACCATTTCTGTTAGCAGGTCAGGCCATTTCTGAGGAAAGTCTTCTCTACCAATTATGCTAATAGCATCACTTAACTACAAAAAGAGAATAAGGATACTTGAAAAGGGATAAACAGTTGCTTTAACTAAATGCAATACAGAACCTTATTTAAATAAAGGACCCAATTACACATTAGTAGCTGAAAACAGTAAACATATGTCTACCTCCCTTTTTCTCCAGCAGACCTTGTTCATGGCATCAGGCTGCAGAACAGATACCTAGAACACTGCTGGAAGAAGATGAAGTGTAAAGAGCTAATCTGACTGAACATAGGTAAGAGCCTTTATTAAGGATTACCCCACGGTAGCACGAACAGCAAAACATCATTATTTTTCTGTTTTTACCGCACCCACAGATTGCCTTCTAGCAGCCCTATTAAAGATATTCCTCCTTACAGAGGAATGAGCTGGAAGATCACTTGAAGGGCCACTGTGAGAACTATTTGAGGCATCTGTTGGATAAAATTGCTCACATTTGCTCTGAGTTGGACTCCAGCATGCAGGTCCCATACAGCCGGCTGAAGTATCTGGGATAGTTATTTGGGGGAAAAATTGAGCCTGTTTGTCCCAAGGAAGTATACAGGGTCCTTGTAGCTGTAAGCATGGCCACCTGCTTACTTCCATGGCCCTCTTGATTGGTCAAGATCTTCTGGGACATGATGTGATGAATCCAAGTGATGAATTCATCCTTGAGGGAGGGAATGGTTTTGCCTGAACTTAAAGAGGCAATGGTCTGCTCCTTCTTCAAGAAGCCATTGTTGGACCAGTGGTCTCAGGCAATTTCAAACCTGTATATCTAATGTGTCTCCCATCTTTCCTGCTAAGGCTGCTGAAAGAGCGCTTGGGCTGCAGCTTCAGAGGGTTCTGGATGAAATGGATTATCTGGATCCCTTTGAGTCAGGCTTCAGGCCTGGGGACAGTACTGAGACAGCACTTGTGGAACTGGGATTGGGTGGTGTCCATCCCAGTCCTTGATCTCTTGATGGCCTTCAATACCACTGATCATGGTATTCTTATGACTCTTTCAAGAGACTGAGAGTCAGAGGCACAGTGTTTCTGTGGTTCTTCTCCTTCGTCCAGGGCCGGTTCTAATCAAAGTTGATGGGGGAGAAGTCCAGTCTTGAACCTTGCTCTGTGGGGTATCTCAGAGCTTGATTCTTTTCCTATTCCTGTTTAACATTTACACAAAGCTGCTAGGTGAGTTAATCCATGGCACGGAGTTAGGTATGATCAGCACACTGATGATACTCAGCTACTGGTTACCCAAGTGATGCCATCAAGGTTCTGTCTAAGTGGGTGGGAGGAACAAATTGAGACTCAACTCTAATAAGACTGAGTGGCTCTAGATTTCAAGGCCTCCTGGATCCAGAGATTTTCCATCTTGATTCTGGATGGGGCTGCACTACCCAGACCAACCCAGAGCAGGTGGCAGCTGTGGCTCAGAGGACCTTTGCACAAATCAATCTTGTGAGCCAATTGCACGATTCTTAGATCAGAGGGTCCTACTCAGCCACTCACCTTTGTGTACCTCTTGTCTGGATTACTGCAGTGTGTAGGGCTTGCCCTTGAAGACCAATTGAAAGATACAGCTATTCCAGAACGCAGCAGCGTGAGTAATGGGCACACCTCAGTATGCTTATGTAACACTATTACTTTGCAAGGTGCACTGATTGTCAGTGGGCTTTTGAGTGTGATTCAAGTGCTGGTTATTCCCTTTAAAGCCTTTCATGGCACAGGGTCTGGTTATTTGGGGCACTGTCTGACAAGGTTCATATACTTGAGATCCTGTCATGTAAGCAGTATCATCAGCTGGGACCCAGGAAATGCCCATTCTTTGTCACTGTGCCTGCCCTATGGAACAGCATCAGGATGGCCCTGACTCTGCCTGCCTTTCAAAAAGCTGTTAAAATCTGATTTTCCCCCAGGATATTGGGTCAGGAAGCCTTTGGAGCCTGTCTTGAGTGACTGTCATTGATTATATGAACTGCCTGTAGCGCAAAATGTTTTATTATGTTGTATATTTCATTTTTATAGTTATTTCCTTTAAAAAATATTATGGCACCCTGACTCATATTTCAAGTAGATGGCTATATAAATTTATACATATTTCATTCTGCCACCCCATATAAATGGCTGCCTCTAGCAAATGGAAATGGGCCGCAGACTATGTCATGCTATAAGTTCTGTTAGATGCTATGGATAAATAATTATACATACAAGTTGCTGTTTTCAACTGCAGACATATATTTATCATTATAACTAATTTAGCCCTAAAGCAATGCCACTTTTACTATATGAAGCTAGGTAAAGATACTGCACATGGAAATTAAAAATAAAAACTTTCTTGGAATAAAAAATGGTGGAGTTTCATACAGTGCCTTAACATTTCCTGACTCTAAACCTCTCCTATAAGTTTTTATTCTGCAGTGACATGTATCTGACATCTTTAACAAATCAACTACGTTTGGCAACACTGAGTGGAGAAAAGCCCAACAAACATGGAGTGATTCTATCTCATCTCTAATGAGAAACATTCAATGGGGAAGCTGTTATTCTTAAGAAAGAGCCACTGCATAATCTTGCCTTGTGCTCCAGTTTTTAGAACATTATTTTCATTCTTATTTTATTTTGTAAATATGTATTCTACTCTGATAATCATGCACTGAACAGAAGCAAATATATTTTCAAAATTAATAAAACAGTCATTATAACATATCCAGCATCTTTTTTCTCTGAGACCAATGGATTTAGGCTCTACAGTATTAGTCATTACCAACTATCCACAGAATGCTTTAACCAGGTTAGGTAAGCCAATGTTATAACTGTTTTTACCACAACAGAGAAAAACCTATCAATTTTTACATTTGACTTAAATGTACTTAATACAGATATGACTGCTCTTAAATATTCTTGGTCTTAACATACTTGAATTGATATACTTTGATACATCTAATGTTCCTTAAAACCCTTATGTAACAACCAATCTCCCTGCAAATTAAGAAGTAGATTTCCAGTTTTAGTTGCCTTACCTGTTTCTGAATTTGTTCTGGGCTGCTGAGCATCAGGTGTACTATGTTGGCTTTAATAGCTATCCTGTCAGTTTCACATATTTTGTCTGGTTCATCTTCAATCTACAAACAAAGTATTAGTTAACTTAAGACCATACCTTTTCTAGAGACTGCTAAGCCGACTGTTTCACACAGAGGGTAAATAGGAGACAAATACTTTTCTGCACACCCCTAATTAATGCATAGTCAACTCAGGATAGATGATATAATTTTGAATTAATATCAGTGGCTGTAAAATCTGAAACAGATTATGAAATTAAAGTTCAATTCTAATTATGTAATACCCTCCAAATCAGAGTTATAAAACTTTGATCTGCAAAACCCCCTCCCCTCATCTCCTGATGGCTTCTCTACTTTCTCCAAAAGTTCAAATTGTAAGAGAGAAATCATTAGTCCTTTCTCCATACTATGCAAGAGGGGAAAAGGCTAGGCAATTTATTTTTGCCACTTGTGCTTGTGCCACACGCAAAGTGAAGACCTCTGCATTGACCACAGGACCTGGGAACTCAAGCATCTTTTGAATCCATGAACATATAATCAATCTGAATTTGCACATGGGTGTATGTATGTATAATAGACAAATTAATGTAGTTATTGTTCTCGGATTCAGGTATAAAACTGATTCTGCCTCCAATAATATATAACAGAAAACCTATCGGTTGGATTTCCTACAAGTTCTTTACAGCATCCCAACGATTAATTTGGGGCATAATAAACAGGCAACATATAATACATCTGTGCAAATTAACAAAATACCTACAATTCTCCAGTTTCTTTTAATATAGTTCTTAAATGTGACAGAAGCACAGACTTTTATGACATTGTCTTGTGACTTCTCCAATAGCGTTAAGAGTAGCAGTGGATAATTCTGGCTTCCTTCAACAGATTCAAGGAATTTTTCCGCTGTAAGAAAACATATATAATATTGTTCATAATTTTATTATTGCCAAACTCCTATTGTTTAACATCAAAAAGAAATAAAAAGACTGGGTAAGGATAATAAATTGAAATCAATATTTTTATATTGACAGTACTGTTGCTGTCCTGCTAGTATTAAACATCTTTGTATAGTAGCTGCTAAGCATAGTTCAGGATGCTGCTCTTAAATTTTATACTGTGGCTATTATATTTTGAAAAGACATCTACTCTGGACTACTTTCTTATATTGCTTGGAATCACTGAATAGGAATAAAATAGATTCACCTCCATCACTGTACCAGAAAAATGAGGATTTTTAACAGTGTACAGAAACAAGTTGGCAATATATTTAAAGTTGTTTAGAAATGTAAAGTAAGAGAAAACTATGGATAGAACAATTATTCACAGAATCATAGAATATCTGAATTAGAAACTTAAAAGACACCTAGTTCAAACTTGCACTCAGAGCAAGAATTTACTGAGCCATTCACTACTATTAACAAGCTACATTTGAAAACCTCCAGGGAATGGAAGTCACCATTATTCTAAGCAGACTGTTCTATTTCTTAACAGCTTTTCCTATCAGGAAATTCTGTCCGACATTCAGCCAAAATCTTTCCTTAATTTCAATCCATTATACCTTACCCTGCTTTTGGTGTGAACAAAGAACAGATCTGCCCCCTCTTGTATAGGACAACCTATCAGATATTTATAGACAGCTGTCATATCTCTCTTAAGCTTTTCTTTTACAAGCTAAACATGCCTAGCTCCTTTAACCATTCTTCACAGAATTTTATTTCCAGTCCTCTTATTGGCCTGCCAAGATAATTTTGAATAGCGATTTTATCCTTTAATGTAGTAGCCAATCTTCCTAATTTGATATCTACAAATTTTCATTTCATTCTCTAGGGTCAATTGCAATTATATTGCTGCTCATCTTTCACCTGAGTTCATTAACATCTGCCTTCCTGAAGTCCAAGAACTGACATTTCTCAGGTTTTTCTCCTTTATCAAACTCCACCAGAAACACAGTCACTTTCCCCCAAGGTGCCTAACACCTTCAGGCCATTGACCAACTTCTTTCTATTGATTAAGATTGTCCAGAGTGATCCCTTGTTTCCTCTTTCACCTTCTGAAAAATGAAATTGTCAGCAAGAGAGATTCTAGCTGAGTTAATTTTCCAGTACTCAGCAGAGTAGTTGAACTCTCACATCACTTCTTGAAAAACTGAGTTCATTTGGAAAGGCACTGGCCCCTGTTTGAGTACATCACCTGTAATAACCTCTCACAATGGTATTTTATTCAGATGTTTTATACGGATATAATTTCTTCACAGGCATATACAGTGGGGCAAAAAAGTATTTAGTCAGCCACCAATTGTGCAAGTTCTCCCACTTAAAAAGAAAATGGGGGAAAAAATCCAGAAAATCACATTGTCTGATTTTTAAAGAATTTATTTGAAAATCACATTGTCTGATTTTTAAAGAATTTATTTGAAAATCACATTGTCTGATTTTTAAAGAATTTATTTGAAAATCACATTGTCTGATTTTTAAAGAATTTATTTGAAAATCACATTGTCTGATTTTTAAAGAATTTATTTGAAAATCACATTGTCTGATTTTTAAAGAATTTATTTGAAAATCACATTGTCTGATTTTTAAAGAATTTATTTGAAAATCACATTGTCTGATTTTTAAAGAATTTATTTGAAAATCACATTGTCTGATTTTTAAAGAATTTATTTGAAAATCACATTGTCTGATTTTTAAAGAATTTATTTGAAAATCACATTGTCTGATTTTTAAAGAATTTATTTCCCGGGCAGTGTGTTTGGGATCATTGTCATGCTGAAAGACCCAGCCACGTTTCATCTTCAATGCCCTTGCTGATGGAAGGAGGTGTTCACTCAAAATCTCACGATACATGGCCCCATTCATTCTTTACACGGATCAGTCGTCCTGGTCCCTTTGCAGACCATCAGCCCCAAAGCATGATGTTTCCACCCCCATGCTTCACAGTAGATATGGTGTTCTTTGGATGCAGTATTTGGTCACCTACAAACAAGCAAGATGTCTGGCTCTCACAGACCTGTAACTACTTCTTTAAGAGGCTCCTCTGTCCTCCACTCGTTACCTGTAGTAATGGTATTTGGTCACCTACAAACAAGCAAGATGTCTGGCTCTCACAGACCTGTAACTACTTCTTTAAGAGGCTCCTCTGTCCTCCACTCGTTACCTGTAGTAATGGTATTTGGTCACCTACAAACAAGCAAGATGTCTGGCTCTCACAGACCTGTAACTACTTCTTTAAGAGGCTCCTCTGTCCTCCACTCGTTACCTGTAGTAATGGTATTTGGTCACCTACAAACAAGCAAGATGTCTGGCTCTCACAGACCTGTAACTACTTCTTTAAGAGGCTCCTCTGTCCTCCACTCGTTACCTGTAGTAATGGTATTTGGTCACCTACAAACAAGCAAGATGTCTGGCTCTCACAGACCTGTAACTACTTCTTTAAGAGGCTCCTCTGTCCTCCACTCGTTACCTGTAGTAATGGGTGACCAAATACTTATTTTCCACCATGATTTGCAAATAAATTCTTTAAAAATCAGACAATGTGATTTTCTGGATTATTTTTCCCATTTGTCTCTTATAGTTGAGGTATACCTATGATGAAAATTACAGGCCTGCCTCATCTTTTTAAGTGGGAGAACTTGCACAATTGGTAGCTGACTAAATACTTTTTTGCCCCACTGTATAAAGATACTTCATTTTCCTTTTTATTGGGAACATTAATTTTGAACAAGTAATAATATCTTTGGGGTTCTATATTTCAATCATGATTCCATTTGTCTCTTATAGTTGAGGTATACCTATGATGAAAATTACAGGCCTGCCTCATCTTTTTAAGTGGGAGAACTTGCACAATTGGTAGCTGACTAAATACTTTTTTGCCCCACTGTATAAAGATACTTCATTTTCCTTTTTATTGGGAACATTAATTTTGAACAAGTAATAATATCTTTGGGGTTCTATATTTCAATCATGATTCTTATCCACCAGGATTCTGTGATAATTATCAGATCATTTGTCTTACCATATTAGGATTTTATTTGTTATATACTGATACACAGACACTGGAGGCTGTTTATTGTTTTTCCTACTGCCATGTGTCCAGGATTTGATAACTTTTTTTTTCTTTGTGTCTCCTTCATTATCACAACCAGTGATATTCCTAATGCCCACCAAGCCTCAGTCTGCCCCCAGTTTAATTAAAAAGGGTTGCAAAGATCTTATATTTTTTTCTGCCCCTGAAAGGTGCAGCTTGCCCCAAAGAGCAGCTTGGACTTGTATTCTTTTAACAGAATCTCTCCCTGCAGTATTGCAAATAGAAAGCCAATCTGATGTAGTGAAGGGAGTTTCATAATTTATATGATTTGACATGAAGATCTAATGTTCAAAATTTAAAAAACCTCCATGGGCAAAATACACATTTGTTTTTCTCTTTGTCTTAATGAAATTTCTTTCTTTTGGTTTCCCTTCTGTAGTATGGGGAGGACCATAATCATTACTTTTGCTATAGTGATTTTGAGGCATAATACAAATACGAAGATAGGTAATTATACATAACTAAATGATTTACTTCATTGGGGTCACTTAGATTTTAATGTATGAAATTCTTTGTATCATCTCAGTTATCTCATTATACAGAGGTCTCATTAGGGATTCAGACAGTTAATAACTCTGGCAAAAGCTTATCTACCCCTTGATTGTAGCTAGTGTATTAAAGACATGTTGATAATTTCTTAATCAGCTAATTGACTTTATTTTTCTCTGAAATTTAATAGATGCATTTTCTAAAATGAAACAGGGATATAAAATATTATCCTTCAGTTTGGCACATGTCAGTGTCCTCCAGTTAATGCCTTTTCTATTTGGTCAATGCTATATTTTTTTCAAAAATAAGGAAGCTAGAATCATTTCAAACAATTTATCTTTCATTTTATAATATAGCTATGCAGTACCTTAGATTTAAAGGGAAAAAAAAAGATGCTTTGGAGCACATGGGGCTGTAAAGTAGCACTTCTCTGCAGCTCCTAAAAGCAGAGATGCCTTTTCCTGAGATCACATGACTGCCCTCCATAGCTGCACACCATCCTGAGAAAAGATACATTTGGTTTAAAAAGTTATAGACAGGTGCTATGTTCATGCCCCATGCACTCTAAAGCATCCTTTTGTCTTTGAATCTAAAATGTTGCATATAATAATGTTGTAACAGTTTGAAACATCTTCTTCTGGTCAACATATCTGAGTCAGGAAAAAAAATGAAGCATTTAGTTCTAAAAATGCCAGGTAATACTCTGCTCTAAACCATCACAAGATGCCATTTAAGGTGGTCTCAAATTTCTTATTCACTTTCTTAATTTTTAAATGGTTTACCAGGACGCCTTATGGCAGGATCAGGATCTAGCGTCTTCTTTAAGTATTCTGTTAAAGTCTGCAAATTGGCATCACTCAGCTCCATAACTGAACCTAAAAATGAACAAAATAGCGTTCAGTAACTTTTAATGCTGTGTGTTAAGAACAGTTAAGGGACCAACCTTATTCTCAACAAAGCAAACACTACAATATGTATTATTTAAAAAGTATCCTTTTGCCAACAGAACACACACTGATGGAAGTTCAAATCAGTCTTCTATATGTTCTCAATTAGGATTCCTAAACTGACAAATGACCTGTCATTAAAAACACACATACACACACAGTTCATTGTACATTCTCCTATCCAATAGTAAACATGACCTGGAATTGTGAATAAAAACATAGACAAAAATAATAGATTTCTTCACATGTAAATTATAACTTTCATGATCTGACATCATGTGGACTAAGATTTCAGTTGTGCCTCATATTTGCTTGGGAAAACGCCCCCAATTCTCTAGAAAAAAATATGAAAAGTACATGTTGTGGTGGGATTAAAAATGCATAAAGAAAATCTTGCTGAACCTAGTTCAATCTTGCCTAAATTGGGTTGGAAAGTATGATCTCAGAATAGTATCAGACATAAACGTTGCGTCCTTCCTACATTCTTTTCAATGTGTCTTCCAAGAGTAACACAATTTATTAAGTCTAGTGGATGATGATCCTCTTTGAGACTGATATAAAATATATTAGAGAGTTCTTGATATGGCCTAATGGCTAATCAATAAAAATAAACTAAACTAGCTAACAGACTTTCAAGACTCTATTATTATACCCTACAATAAAAGGCATTCCTGAAAACCCTGCTGTTCCTGTTTCCTGACCTTGCCTACCCTGAAGAGTTAACATTAATCATGAAACGACTTAAAAATAAGAGTATGTATGACTCTATACTATCTAACACCAAATACTGGTAATTATGACCTTATTCAAATTGTTTCATTTTCAATACAAAGATTATTTATTATGCTTTTCATTCAAGCTGTTTTAATTTTTCCACATTTTTCATGGTACCGAAAACTGTATCGAATTCCACTGAAGCTGCATTTTCCAAACCAAATTCCAGATGTTTATTTATTCTTTATCACATTAGATACTCTATTTCTGACTAGAACTGAAGGGTTGGAAGGGACCATTTAGGCTATTGTTCAAGCCTCCAGCGTAGGAAGCCAGACTAAAGCATTCCAGATGAATGCCTCTCTAGCATCTGCTTAAACATGGAAGAGAAATCCACCACCTTTCCAGTTAATTGGTTCCACTGTCAAATTGCTCTGTTAGGAAGCTGGAATCTGTCTTTTTGTAATTTAGGTCCATTATTCTGAGTCTTGTGGTCTGGAACAATATAAAACGGACTTGACCTTCTATGTGACACCCTTTCACATATTTGAAGAGTGCTATCACATCTTCTCAGATGTCCCTTTTCAAAGCTAAACATACTTAGCTCCTTCAGAACATTTTTAATCCTCTAATAATATCTGTTGCGCTTCTCAGAACCTGTTTCAATTTCTTTGTTGACAGAACTGTTTAGAGGACTTGAAGTGACGTCTGAGGATGCAGAAAGAGCAAAATAATTACTTCTCATGAATCAAAAAGTATACTTCTGTTGATGCAGCCTAAAATTGCACTTGCCTTTCTTTACACCCTTTACACTGTTGGTTCATATTCAATTTGCAATCAACTACTATTGCTCCTGTTATATTTATTGTTACACTTCTCCAACCTATTAATATTATTTTGATAATATTATTATATTAAGATTATTTAATAATCTTCTAGGTTATTATGCATTCTACCCAAATTTGTGCTATCTGCAAATTTGATAAATATTCCCTCCATTTCTTCATCTAAGTCATTAAAGAAGTATTGACCATTAAAGGGCCCAAGACTGATTCTGGTGGCATCCCACTTAATACCTCTCTCCAATTTGATGATGGGCCATTAATAAGAACTCTTGGCATAGTTTCAAGCTATGTACCCACAATTGTCATGCCCTCCAGTTCATACTTAACTAGATTGCTAATTAAGCTTGCCATAGAATACTCTGTGGAAATGCTGTTGACATAATATACCTTAATTTCCACAAATATCAAACAATCACCTCAGAAAGTTACCCAATCAAAAAATGAGAAAAGATTATTTTGGCAAATCCATGTTCATTTCAGGTAATTATCCAATTGTTTTAAAAGAAACAGGACTTTTATAGAATCATCCTTGAAGCTGTGTTAGCATTCTGTTCCACGATCCCTGTTGTGATTGGCTTTGGCCTTGATCAACTTTAAGAACCGCTTTAAATCATTTTTTAAGTACATGACCTTCCCCATAGGTATAACTTGGTAATAAGCTGAATTTTTAGTTGATAGCTATTTTGTTTCTCAATTCTTAATTGCTGCATTTTAATGTATTATTTTAACATTAATTTTTAAAAACAATGTTTATATGCCATACTGTTACTATTAACAAACCTTTTCTGATTATTAAACACACAGCTCTTGTCCTTCTACAAAGGAGGAATATATAAATCAACTACAGCTTATGCCTGAAAACACCTTCCTATACCTTACATCCCTTAGCCTATTATCACAGTGACATGCCTATGATTCACTGCTTTTTTGAAAGCTTATGGTAATTTCTCTAGAGCTCAGTACCCTCCTCCTAAGAGGATCAATTCATTTAAACCTTGGTAGAGGCCCTAGGGAGGCAGAAGCAGCAAAAATAAAAAAATGAACATGCATAAATGCAATTACAAATTAGTAAACTATGTTTAATCTGGAAGGAAGGACTAAAAAATTAAAGCAGAAGGGATACTATTTAGAATAGCTGTGTTTTCCCAATAGAAAAAAATGGGCTTTGAGGGAAAAGGGGAAAAAAAGAATTTAACATCAATAAACCAAGTATCCCAACCATCTTTTGTAAGCAAGCTGCAATGTAATGTTGCTATAGGGTAGATAGCTTACTTCATTCGTACGTATTGAATAAACTACAGCTGATTTAAATCTTCCCTCTGCCATGACCTCACGAAGTGGCCATAATATTTCTCTCCGCCCCATTTGAAAAAATCCAAATACAGTAATAGTGTTGCAAGGAGAACGCTACGTTAGGTTTAACCCTCCATACAAGCACCAAACAGAATAGTTTCTGCGTACGTGTAGAGTATTTTTTTCCCCAACGGTCTACATCTGCAGTAAGGATTTGCTTTTTTTTACCCAAGAAGGAGTCCGCAGAGCATCCTTTTTCGAAAAGGAAAAAAAAAGATTAAGCGTTGCTGACATCCCTTTACGCTGCTGTCTCAGAAAATGAAAAACCACCAGTTTCCTTAATAGGACGAGGAACCTCCCTGCCATTGGAGATCCTGACCCATCCTCAACAGATTGACGCGCGAGGACGGACTCGGCGATAAAGGGGGAAAAGGAAAAATGGAGAGGGACAGCGATCGAGGTGCACGGTTCACGCTATCTCGTTTCCAGCCCGAGTGACAGGCGAGGCTAGCCAATCAACAGACTGCTTTTGCCGCGGGCGAGGCCCAGGAACCAACGGGGGCACGCGTAGGCAAAAGGAGGCAGGCCAAGATAGACGCAGCAGGTTCAGATGCACCTCCCTCCGCTGCGCCGTGGGCCCGCATTCGCGACCAACTCCCCAGACTCGAGACGCTCGCCTCCGTCGGCTCTCTCCGCGGCTCTCTCCCCCGGCGGCTCGGAGGGCCCAGCCGCACGGAAAGAGACGCCGGATCGCGCTCAACGGCTTGGCCTTACCTGACGGGTCCCCTGACAGCGCGAGCAGCAACGACAACAGCAACTCCTCCTACGGCTCAGCTTCACATTCAAACCTCGGTGAGACGGCGCGGCGGCGGCGACGTGGTGACGGCACCACGCAGAATGCGGCGCCAGCTTTCCCCCGCCCTCCCGCGGCTACCAATCCACAGGCGGCTCTCCCAAACCGCCAGCCAATCACGGATGCGCTAGATCTGAAACCAGATGAGCAGAGCCCTTCAGTCCGGGGACATCCCAGAAGGCCTTGCGGGGTGGCGAAAGTAGTGAGGCGGTTTCGAAGCCCCAAGAAGGATAGGAAATGCGCGTTTCCTCGCTGGGCGAGCCTTCGGAGCCTTGTGAACGCTGTGGGCTGAGTTTGCGTTACACGCCGGTCCACAGATTGGCCAACCACGTTTAGCCTGACGTTTGTGAACCCAGCCCCGTGGGCTGGCTTACGGCTTACTAGACCACGGGGAACGATGGGTAAGCAGGGCAAACCAACACAGCCTGGTGTAAAAAGTCTTGTTTTTTCCAGAAAAATGCTACTTTCCATGCTGCTCTCCTTCCCACTGGAGCGGTTTATGGAAAACGAACAAAAGAAAACAATCTTACCTTAAAAAGCTGCTTAATAAAGGCACTCAATTTTTAAAAATCCCCCCTCCCCCACAAGGCGATAAAGCCTTGGGGATCAGCCATTTAAAACTGCTGAAATAAAAGACAACCTGGTTATTATCTCGCAAATTCAGGGGAAAATACATTTTATTTAAAATTGTTTAAAACTGGACCCATTTGTAATGGAAAGAGTACTAGGATTAGGATGCCGCTACCCAGAAGGCACTACCTTGGCCATCGCACTAGAATCCATGCCCACTGCTGGGACTGTAAGACTTCCCCAGCTGATCATATCCCGTGGGATGAGTAATGAGGGAAAAAGGCCTTTGGATACTCTGAGCCATTTATGGCATTGCACGCTAATGTCCACACTTTGATTTGTGCCTGATAGCTCAGCTAGAGCAGCGCTTTAAAGATTTGTGTTATATGGCCCAACTCGGCTACCTTACTTAACAATTCGGCAGCTCTTTTCTGCACCAGCTGCATCTTCAAGGGTACACTCATATGAGATCATATTGAAGGAATTCAGTTTCGAAATAATTAGGGCATGGATCTAGAAGCTAGGCTGGAGTACCAGCCAAAATTGGCATAAGTCATCTTTGTCACTGATGTCACCTATGCCTTTAGTTAAAGGTTGGAATTGAGGAAAGATCTATAACTATGCACCATTTTGGAGAGACTGCTACTTCATCTAAAACTGGTTGCTTTCCCAGTTCCTAAGTCCAAGAACTACTGATTCATAACAGCAGTCTTATCAGGATTCAGATTTGTTGGCTTTCATGCAGTCCAGAACTGCCTCCAAGCAACTGTAAAGGATCAGTACTGTAAAGCCTCACTTGAGTCAGCTATTAAGAAAAAGTAGACTTTAGTCTTATCTGCATATTGATGAATTCGCAATCTGAATTCCTAATCTTAAAATCCCCCTCCCAGTGGCTGTGTGTAGATATTAAACAGCAGAAGAGAAAGAATTGCATAGGACTTATAAGAACATCCTCAAGCATTCCCCCCCCCCCCGCCCTCATATTAGTCCATTAGATGCCTCTTG